GAATTCCCGAGTCATCTTGATTGAGGAGGCAGCAGAAGTACTTGAGGCCCCGGTTGCAGTCGCTTGCCTTCCATCACTTCAGCATCTCATTCTAGTTGGCGATCACCAGCAGCTCAAGGGTCAATGTGCTGACTATGAGCTCACCGGTGATCCTTTTCACCTCGATGTCTCTATGTTTGAGCGTCTGATGCTAAACGAAATGCCGTACACCATGCTTCAAGAACAAAGGCGAATGGTGCCAGAAATCAGAAAGCTTGTGGCCCCCATCTATGGCGGTATTCTTCGTGACCACCCGTCAGTTCAGGATCATCCTTTAGTTCCTGGTATGGGAGATAAACGATCCTTCTTTTTCGACCACACCGCGCACGAAAGCAATGACAGTCTGTCGTCCAAGGTGAATGACTTCGAGGCATCAATGGTGGTTAATCTCCTTGCCTACCTTGTGATGAACAAAGTCCCGGCAGCTAGTATTACTGTCCTGACGTTCTACAATGGTCAACGGAAGTTGATCATGCGAAAGAAGTCACAGAATCAAAACGTATCCAAGCCCTACGTTAACATACTGACTGTCGACTCATACCAAGGAGAAGAAAACGATATCGTCATTCTTTCGCTTGTTCGATCGAATGATCATCGTGGGATTGGCTTTCTCGCACAAGACAACAGAGCCTGTGTTGCCTTATCCCGCGCCAAATACGGTCTTTACATATTTGGCAATGCACAATGTGTTAGAAAACACAGCGATTTCTGGCATTCAGTTACTAACATGATGTCCGAAAATCAACCAGACTCCCGTATTGGCTCCGCTCTGCCTCTGTATTGCACAAGACACAATCAAGAAACCCTCATCCAAAGTGAGTCCCTAGCATGTCTGAAAACTCCAATGAAAAAAGAGAGAATCTAATCACTTCTTCTAGCTCTTAAGGACTGGAGCGCTATTACCGACGGTTGCAACAAGCCTTGTGGCAAGGATTTGCCATGTGGACATCCATGTCCCCGCAAATGTCATGGGTAAGATTCGAAAATATCCACGGTTTATATGCCCTAAAATACTGATCTTTTTCGTCATTAGTTCTGAACATGACTGGGTATCTTGCAGACAGCGCTGCCGTGAAATTCGCGAGTGCTGTAACACGCCCTGTATTTGTGTATGCTCTCCACCGCACACTCATGATTGCTTCTGTGGTATGGGCAAGGACAGCAAAACCCAGGTCTTTGACGCCGGATCCGACTGGGATGATTTTGACCGCGATGATGATGATCGCGACGAAAAGGTTGGTCCCATAACACGACCCCGAGCCCCGACCCGCGCCGCAACCTCTACGGTAGATGAAGAAGCAACGCGGTATGCCGAAGGTGTGCGCCGGTGGCAAGCGTTTGCACAAGGTGGCGCCGTGGTGGATGATTATCGCCGGGCAGGCCTCGTAGTTAGAGCGAAACGTCCTGAAAAAGATGTTGTGCCAGTCGGGCTGAGCGTCGCCGCTCCGGTCGAAGGACAATTGATCAACTTTGACGACAACGATGACCGTCAGGAGATTCCGGCTCCAGAGGAAACCCAGCCTGCTGCCCCGGCCATTGAAGACCTGCTTACATATGACGGGGCTGGTGATGGTCTGGTCAAAGCTATGAGTGAATTACAAGATGCCCTTCCCACTCCGCTCGAAAAAGACCCGATGACCTTTGGAGAACATGATCACTCTCGGGCTGAGCGTGCGGGCCCAGTGGAAGATCCACATACTGTCGTGGTTCATAATGATGATAATTTGGCCAGCAGTCCGAGTCCAGCCGACGTCTTGCTCACTCCTACGGCCGAGGATGTCGCAATCCCTCCCATGGAAGGGCAGCTAATCGAGCTCTCCTAGATCGGCGGCAGATGTCACTTTGCTACGCTCTTTTCCTTTGCTAGGCCTACCCGTGAGGGTGCGCTCAACGGTGGCACTGATGACTTAGAAGGATAATGAGAACAGGAGAAAGAGGGAGAAGAGGATTCGTGTGTAAGAGCTGAATTGACAGAAACGGAAAATAGAAAAGCACAAAAAGACGGCGACACGCCATATCAAAGAATACATCGATAAAACAATGCTCTTAAATCGTTACTAGCTGTAATTCAATGCAGTCTGTAATATTTCACTCTTGAATTAGTTGTAGGTGCTTAGAAGTAAAAGTCACTTGGGGTCACGAGATCATGAACACATTATATTCCAACAAGCCTCAATATATACAAACGCCAAAGACATAATATCAACATCAAATCATAGTTATGTACTCTTCCAAACTCTGTCCAAGAATATTAATAAACGGCCACTGAGTATTTGTTCCAAACAACCTAGCCCACAGCTTGAGAACGGCCAATCCCAAAGAAGCCGGTTCCAGATCTGGCGGCGCCTCACCATCATCCGTATCGATAGACGAATACGCCTCTTCAATAATACAGCGGGTCCACCGTAGAATGCGAGTTTCGTTTTCTGTATCAGAATTTTTAGCTTATAACACACATAGAGCAGGCAGAACATCGACATACCACTCAACGACTGATCCGGTCCAGCTTCAGCAAGGGTGAATAGCCATTTGCTAAGTAACACTGCACATTCAATACTAGCCAGCGAGTGCCGCACGCTCCAGAAGAAGGCTTGACTGCGAGCAATGTGGTCTATTCCCAGACGCACGGGGATGCTGAGAGCATGAGCGGCGTATATAAGTGCTGGGATGAGACGGTAGCTTCGTTCTGGGCGTGGAGACCGTCGAAGTGCGCTGGCTATTATTGTTGGGTCGCGGGTTTCTAGGCGGCGATGAGGACCGAGATTTAGAGATAGGCGGACGTAAGCAAGTCCCAGGAAGGCACTGGAGGTGAATGGGATTGGACCGTTTGCGTTGTGCGGGTCTAGACTGGATTCTGGGGCTTGTTGCCACACGGAGGTCCAGGAGCGGAGGGCTCGTCTGTGGTTTAGATAGTTAGAGGTGTATGTTGGGGAAGATCTGTGTGTAGGGGACTTGCTCTAGTTTATTCAGTTCCTCTGTTGGGAGGGTTGTGGAGTGGTTGCCGTTTGGCAATGATAGCTCGCTCACGAGGTGGATCCGTTGCAGGAGTCCGTGCAAGAGGATGTAGTTACCCAGTGGAGCCGGGATGGGGTCTAGTGGTTTGGCCGATCGCGACTTTTGCAAGAGGAGGGTCAATGCGTCCTGGAAGAACAACTGCTGGGGGCCTCGTTCTCGCTGTGCTGCTTCCCACTCCGAAGCGGTGCTAGCGGTCCATTCGGCGGTAGAACATGGGAGACGCAAGTGTATCTCATTGCTGCGCAAAGACGGATAAGCATTGTATGCGATGCTGTGGACATGGATAAAGCAGAACGCAATCAACTTTGTGCGTCGCCCGGATTCTTGGTCTGCCCACTCGTACCAGTCAAGTGGTGCGCGTGGATCAGAGCGTGTTGTATCTTCTGTCAACCCAGCCTCGCGGAGATGCCGAACCAACAAGCCCTGAAGGTGGAATGCTTCTTGCACCAGTCTCGCGTTTTCCCACGTGGCGTAGCCCATCAGAATAAGGAGACAGCGAGTGATTTCGATCTGCTTCCAAACAGCAGTTCTCTCCGCTGTTACCTGGGGTTGCGTGAGGGATTGATCACCAAAGTTAGAATAAGGAGATATTCCTAGCGGTATTTGAGAGCCGGGATTGTAGCTTGGCTTAGCTGGGAAACGGGCCTCTCTAGACATCCGTTCAATTAGAACTGCCTTGGAAACATGGAATATTCTTTCTGCGTTGCGGTGCTCAAATCTGTACTGGGCTCCGATCGTCATGATAGCAAGAACCACCTCGGGGGCGCGTTCATTGATATGAAAAGTCGGGATATGCATAAAGGGAAGATGTGGGTGGAATCCTTCAAAATAGGAAGTGAGGTACCGAGTCAATGTGTGACGAGATGGCAATACGAAATCCGGAATGACATTGCGAAATTCTTCGAGAGATGCCGCAAGCCGAAACCGCTGGTCTTCGGTGACATTGAATCGTGATGTCCTCTTTGCGCTTTGGGGCGGTTCTGCAATGATATCAGTAATCTAGAGAATTGTAGCAATATAGGGTGCTATTTACCAGAATCAGACAGGGTGCCCAGGCTTTGGTCGCCCCTCGGCACAGATGGAAGCCAGGATCTGAATGGTGAGTCTCCTCGAGAACCTTCCCCGCTCCGTCGTGGCCGCTCATGGTGCTCTTGGGTGTGTCGACCTGTCTCTCTTACGTCTTCCAGGTTAACCTCTTGTGTCTGAGATGTTTCGCCTTCGCTGGGAACCCATTCCCCGGGCAAGCCAATCGAATCCAAAAAATGGGTGAATTCCTGGAAATGATTCAGATCTTCGGGCAAGTAGGGCATCGGTTGTCCTGTTTTTGTGTCAGACCAATAGATTTCCAAGAATGGGAGTCAATGCGAAAGACCGTTTACGAGAGAGAAGGGTATTGCATATTGCACGGGGTATGAGGAAGGATACACTTGGACAACTATGAAAAACGTACCTGTAGGTCGGTAATCGCCTGGAAGAAGCAGCTGGGCAGCTTGAAGCATATCCGGATCGTGCACCATCCCCGTATGGGGATCAATGGCTGGGTTTGGAGCCCCTACAGTAGGAGCAGGAAGCATGCCGGCATTGTGATTTGGATCTAAATATGACGTGTTCTGTGCCCCAGCCCATTGGTGCACAACCGATGATCCTGCAAGGGATTCCACGGGTACGGGTCTAGTTGGTGTATCATATTGCGGCGGGATGGATGCAGGATGATGCGTCGGCTGGAAATCCGATTTCATCGTTGGCTCGGGCGGCGTCGGCGAGGTCAACCCATCTTGATGTGAGATGCGTGTGTGACGCTTCAACAGATCCCTTCTAGTAAAGGCCGCCCCACAGAAGCAAATAAACGGCTTCTCCTTGGTGTCTAGTTTACCGGGTTAGCATTAGCTGCGGGGATCTCCCCGGAAATTGCTTACGGGTGCGAATGTGTCGCTCCAAATGTTCAGTCCGTCGGAAACTCCGACCGCAGTGTATACAGATACGTGCCCTTGCTCCACGAGCACCCCTATGCGGCTGGGGTGATGGGGACATTGAAACATTGGGGGGATATGGAGAACTGGTTTGGAGAAAAAGAGGCCTGGGGGTTGAACGAGTGGATGTCGAAGTGGGAAATTGGACCCCAACTGCTCCAACTCGGGGCCCGCCGGGATTGTCGGCCCGCGATAAGCGATAAGGGTGGGGCCATTTGGAGAGAGGCGGGAGGAGATATAGAACTACAGAACTTGCATCGTTCACAGTCAGATATATTGAGATCATTCAGATTGTTTTATGGGGTTATCGTATAAAAATGGCCCAATCACTCCTCAATATGTTTCCCGGTGTTGCCGTAGTCACGGGTGCAGGTGGAACTGGTAAACCAAGCACCCGCAACATTAATGTCTATCACTCACATGACACAGGAATCGGCGCCGCAACTACAAAGGCCTTCGCTGCAGCTGGTTGTACGCAAATCGCCATCACAGACCTCAATGAAGAGTCCCTGCAACAAACAGCAAAAGTCGTCACCTCAACATATCCGAAAGTACGGCTGCTAGTAATGGCCGGGGACGTGGCAGACGACCAATTCTCGGATGCATTCATTAATGCGGTTGTACAAGAATTCGGACGAGTAGACTATGCTGTGAACTGTGCAGGAGTCCTTAGCAAGCCTCTACGCTCGGCAGAGATGTCGCTTGAGGAATTCGATCGCGTCAATAACATCAACTACCGAGGCTGCTGGCTCTCATCTCGGGCAGAGCTTAGGCAGATGGTCACACAAAGTGGACTCCCTAGCCATGATTCCAATCGTCCACCTCAACGTGGTGCTGTGGTAAATGTTTCCAGTCAACTTGGCATTGTCAGCCGGCCGGGTGCTCGTAAGTGTTTTTCTTTCTACCCGTGAAACGCATTATTGAGTTTGTGATAGCTGCATATTGTGCCTCAAAGGCTGCTGTCATTGGAATGACACGTGCCGATGCGATCGACTATTCCAAAGATGGGATTCGAGTCAACTGTGTCTGCCCTGGCGTTATTGAAACGCCACTGGTGATGGAGAAGCCTGAAGTCCGCGAGGCCATCATGCCAGCAGTGGAGACCGCACCAATGAAGAGAATGGGCCAGCCGGCAGAAGTGGCCGATGCCATTCTTTTCTTGTGTTCAACACAGGCATCGTTTGTTCAGGGCCATGCCATGGTGGTTGATGGTGGATATATAACGGTCTAGCTACTCGTTGTGATGACAGGATATCGATAACACAATTCCAAAGCTTGAATTCGACAGACGAAAATTGATATCTAGTTCTTATCTGTAGAGTAATGCATCTTCTTCCAGTCAAAATGAGTCTCCCAGACATGTGCGGCCCGCAGAATCTTCTCTTCCTGCCACAACCCACCAACAATCTGCATCCCAACTGGTAGCATAATCTGGTTATCTTCCTTCGCTGGAGCAAGCCCGACGGGTATGGATAGTGCCGGGTGACCCGTCACGTTGAATATGGCAGTGTTGATTGTAAGACCCATACTAGGCTTGAGGGAATCCAGAGGGAGTTCTCGCTTCCCATGTCGAGGGGCAACAACCGGCGTTGTAGGCATCACCAGGATATCATACTTCTCAAACAGCGACTCGTACTTGTCACTGAGCAGCCGTCCGATATTGGCAGTTTTTCCGTAGAGATCAGGGAATTGTTGCATTAGATATAGACCGTTAATGATAACGTTCTTGGTGGACGGGAACGCTCTCTGGAAACCATCATCAGTCCATGGAAGCCGTGCGCGCTCCATGTCAGTCATATAAAGCCCTCTTCGGCCTGTATTCTGGCCCAAAAGAGTCTGTGCCCCGGCCATTCGCTGCTGGATAGTCCAGATCGCGGGCCCTTGTAAATGCTCTGGCAGAGATATTTCCTCGATTGTTGCGCCCAGATCTTTGAATTTCTGGGTAGCGGTCAATACCGCGCCCTTGACATGTGGGTCTACCGCGCTGTGCTCAAATCCTTCAACAAGAATGCCGACCTTGAAGCCGTCGAGTGTGTTCGGATACTGCTGAAGAGCCTCTGCAAATCTGGTAGAGCCTGGCTTCGGGCTACCGAGAGCCCGATCATCGATGCCGTCATAACCACTGATAACATCTAAGCATGCTGCAGTCTCAAGTGTTGTTCGGGATAGTGGGCCAGCGTGGTCATTCATAGCATCGCCACTAGCAATCCCAGTGAAAGGAACGCGGCCATGAGTTGGTTTAAACCCAACGCCTAGCAGCAAGTCAGCTCATGACACATTGATCCTCAAGTAATAAAAGACATCTTACATCCACAAAACGAAGCGGGCACGCGTATACTGCCACCCTGGTCACCACCAATGGTAATGTCCACTATACCGGCGGCGACCAGCGCTGCACCGCCACAGGTACTCCCGCCCGCCGAATAGCCCAGAGCATTTGGATTCTCCACCGTACCCTGGGCACTGGTATACGAAGACGTAGAGTGGCACATATTCTCACACGTCGACGTCCCATGGATATCTGCGCCCGCCTCAAGCAATCGTGTTACAACTGTCGCGTCCGTAGTCGGTGTCCAAGAAGGAATTATATCGCTTCCCAGAAGCTGTGGCACGCCGGCAACAGCAACGACATCTTTCAAACTGATGGATTTACCGGCCAGAGGCCCGCCCTGGGGATTACCCCGGATAAGAAATCGGTGTGCCCATGCTTGCCCGAAAACTTGTTCTTTTTCGCTTGGTCGGCGCACATTCTCGCGTGGATACTTAGTCTGATCGGGGACTGGTTGATAGTCTGGTAATGCAGCTACGCTTTCGGCGCAGTCGTGGACTGCTGCAAGAAGGGTGTGGAAATCCTGTGCCTCGGCGGGATCGATGGTCAGACCGAACGGTTTGAGGAGGGCTTCTGCATCGCCCGGCTTGACGGGGTTGCTCCTATAACAACTGTCATTATATGATGAAATTCACCAAAAATGGAAATACTTACTCTGAAATACTGGTGAAAAGAACTGACATGGTCAATCTTTGACGCCGTTGGATACCGTTGGATATGCCCTGGATAGCATCTTTGGGGGATGTCGCAGTTTATGAACAGTCCCCATTGTCGTAATCTTTTCCTAATCCACCGTGATTTTCTCCAACGCTATATATATTGGAGTCCATTAAACTGGGTCTCGTTGTCTCACTGGAGACAAGGACTACCTACCCCAACGTAACCCCAATTGTGTTGGAGACACCTCGGCATTGTGGATGGAGTTCACTAAGGGTAGAGATAACGAATGGTGTAAGTTAAGAAAGGTAAATCTTGTAAAGCAGACAATCAGTCAATCTATCGGTCTATCAGTAACTGATGTGAAATTGTCCGTGGGTGATCAACAGGTGAGGGGTTCCCCTTCCCCGCATTCACTTGTTTAAAAGCCGAACTTCTCCTGGTAACCGACCGAGTTTGAACAGTAACAATTGATCATTCGCAATGGCACCAAAGCGAGTTCTTATTACCTATGGTGTGGATGTCGATGCTGTAGCCGGCTGGCTAGGATCGTATGGCGGAGAGGATTCCACTAACGACATCAGCAGGGGTAGGTTTCGGTGTTTTCTCTCTAGAATTGTGCTCTCTAACTATGAGATAGGATACTGGGCAGGAACAATTGGAACCCACCGATTGTTGAAGCTGTTTAAGAAATATGACATCAAAACAACATGGTTCATCCCCGGCCACTCCCTCGAGACCTTCCCGGAGGACATGGCCGCAGTCCGGGATGCGGGCCACGAGATCGGTCTACACGGATATTCTCACGAGAACCCAACAGATATGTCTCTAGAGCAACAGCGTGATGTGCTCGACAAAACGTATCGAATGTTGACCGAGTTCGCTGGAAAGCCCCCCCGGGGAAGCGTGGCACCCTGGTACGACTCTCTTAGATTGGTGATTCCTCAAGGATGCTAATCGAATACAAATAGGTGGGAAACTAGCAAAGAAGGAGCCCAGCTTCTCCTCGACTACGGCATCGAGTACGATCACAGCATGAGCCACGAGGACTGTCAGGCCTACTACCTCCGAACCGGTGACAGCTGGACTAAGATCGATTACCAGCAGAAAGCTGAGACTTGGATGAAGCCTCTTGAGCATGGATCCCAAACAGGACTTGTTGAAATCCCCTCCAACTGGTACATTGATGATCTACCACCGATGATGTTCATCAAGAGCGCTCCTAACAGCCATGGCTTTGTCAACCCGCGGGATGTGGAGGATATCTGGCGCGACCATTTTGACTACTTCTACCGCGAGTATGATGAGTTTATTTTTCCGATCACTATCCACCCGGATGTGTCGGGAAGGCCTCATGTACTGTTGATGCATGAAAGGTGTGTTGTGATGATTACTTTTTGCGGAGTATGACTAACCTTTTATAGGCTTATTGAACATTTCAAAAAGCACGACGGTGTTGAATTTGTGACAATGGAACAGGTTTGCGATGAATTTAAGAATAAGAACGCTCCTCCGCCTGGGGCCATGATGCCCGCAAAGGCTGGTTTGATGTTGGAGAAATGAAATCTAGTCTGAGGTATAACGGTATACCATAATGGTTTATTAGTTTTAGACTGCGAAATCCATCATGTCTTATGATCTTTAGTACTTATTTCCTCAGGTGCATTGTATCTGCCATGGGATGTGTCTTGTGTGGTCAACCATTCTTAACCATTCATCTCCAAGATGACTGCTGCCCCAAATCAATGTCACAGACTGGTCGATGGTTATCAGCGCCAAGATAAAGCTATTAGATCGCCTAGACTGATTTGAAGAACTACCTCTTTATTAACAGAGATGTCTACCCCAACACGAATAACTGCATCCCACATACCCCAACTCCATTCACAAGTATACCTAGGTACCCCGAATCAAGTGCTACCAAACCATCCAATCATACACCATTTCAGACAAGGCGCAAGTTATTGGCAGGCTAGTCAATAAGGAAGTGATAGATCCTCTGTTCACCGCGAGCTATATGATTGTTGCGGCGTCAAGTATCATTGGCATGTCGTCGACACTCAATGCAATATTGCTGCATTCAAACCCACATAGCCATATTCGGCTCAACCAGAACGACAGTCATTGGTATGTGTACTAAATTGTGCGAGTCCTCGCATGTCGGGTGACTGATGCAGCTTGGGCATAGGAGTATTTATATATTTGTCATTAGTCTTGGGTAGAATGTGCCGCAACCTTGTCTTCCCCTCTAGGATTTGAAACCGAGAGACTATCCGAAGTCTAATAAGTTAGCATGAGCTTGGTAATATCTTCCCACCTACTATCCAAGCTGAGGATGTGCGCCCTGGGTAGATGAATCGTGTCAGCGGTGACACTGTCAGATTAATCACGAACGGTATCACAATGCCAGCCCTGATCATTAGCGGTTGTGTGTTGCAGCCTGCATGCATGTTAATATTGCTAGCGGTTGGCCGCCGTGCGAGTTGGCTATCATGCGCGACAGGGATCTTGGCTTGGCATGTTTCCTTATCTTGGCGGTGGGGAGAGCTAGTGGCGCCTGAGTTTGCAGGGGTGTAACTCCGTGCTCGTTATATTCAGGATCATTGGAGGGGGTAATGCGATTAGGAAGTTCATCTGTTTCCGGCAAAAATCACAGAACTATCTATTTAGGTTATAGCTGAGGGGGAAGGGTCCACGGGTGCATAAGGCTATGATCTATTGGTCAATCGGAGAGATAAAGGCTAGACGGATAGGCCCTTAAAGAGAAATACTAAATTATAGTCCAAGGAAGTATCATAAAGGGACTCCATGTCTCATGCCAGAGACCTCCGTTTTCCGAATCCGAATGCAACTCCACGTGCTTCTTTTTGATACCGTCTTATTTCTGTTCTCTTTTCTTCTCTCTTGCTCTCTTATTCTCTTCTCTTATCTATATTCCTATCCTCCATTCCAGAGCTTGACCTTGGAAAGCTTGTCGATCTTATCACGTCACCCGCATCCGTTATCATTGCAAGATGGCCCGCAAACTGGCCCTGCTCTTCATATTGATGCACTCACTCCAAATCCTCGCACTTCCAGCTCCCTACCAAAACTCAATGGCATTCAAATCCCATGCGTCGACAAATACCTACAATCACCGATACTACTTCCCGGAAATCCTACCCGATCAAGATGAAATCGCAGCAATGTTGAAAGAAACAGCCATGCGCGAAGCAGGCTTCGTACCCTCCTCAAACCGATCACCGTCAAACCCGAAGCCGAACTCAAAGGATCATAAAATGGAGACGGATACGGGGCTTCGAAAATCACCGGAGACGGGTATGGATCCTGCGATCGGCAGGGATGCGACACAACCACACCCGGATTGGCGCACAAACCAGAACACAAAGCTGAGGCAGACTCTGTCTCAGTCCCGTCTGAAAGAGTCCGTCGTGGCCGCGTTGGCATCGAACGACTACCCGATTTACTGGCGTCCGTTTGAATTCATCGTTGTTTCGGCTGCGATCGTATGTTTCTTTACCGTTTTGAAGGGGATCCGCGCTAAGAAGTGAGAACGCGACATCTGACTGTTGGATTAATTTTCCGTTGAAAAAATCATTCTCTCTTTTTTTTTCTCTCTCTCAATGCGCTTTTCTATGAAAAGAAGCTAGGGATTCTGCTGTGGGTTATCCCAAGCCTTGGGAGCTCTGCACTTTCTCCACTCGGTCGGAGACTTGTTTCATTGGTTTCATTACTGTGGGACTTGGACCTGGGCAGTCCCGCTCCATTGAATCGGCCCCATCTCCGATATGGGATTTCTGAGGATTTGATGGACATCGGCAAAGATGGGGGAATACTAGCTCTGGAATCAGGGCTCCGGGATATATCCTGAGTGACTCGGTCAATCCGGGGTGATGACTCGTCCGGTTGTCGTGCTGCGACTGAAACCACACCATCACCTTTCCGCCTCGGCTTGCGACAAGCAATGAGAATGTCAATTGAGTGGAGATGTCGAAGATGATATCTATTCGGGCGGAATGAAATGCTTGGCACTTCGTGGGACTCGCTGGCCAGGGAGCAGCTTGGGCATTGAAGATGGACAGACATGTTCAGATTGAAGATACCTCGTTCTGTTCTCTGGGATCATCACCAAATGGATGTTATCGGATGAGAGTACTTCCCAGTGTCAAAATGCCACTGTAGGCTTATTTCTGAATACAAATACTTCAAGGATTGCTGCACTAAGAAGCGCCATGAACCTGCGCAATGTACCTCGCACACGACTATCACATAGCTCGTCGAGCTAATATTATATTTTCTTTTTAAAACAAGGGATCTACACAACCTCAAGCAGTATTGCAAACATTCTCATTCTCGCGAAGAAGCATAGATTCTGATATGAGTCATGCAACGATGGAATACATGTAGGCTTACAAGAACCCCAGAAAAGATACAGGTGTGATAGCAGTACATGCACAATGTAGCAGAAAAAGGACAAAAAAAGGCAAAGATGCCACACCGGTGCGAGAGTAAAGTAAGACATAAACAGGACCATTGTAACATTGGAATAGATGGTAACGATGATAAAGCCTCTAGGCCATCCATGGATAAAATGGTTATTACGTTGATGTCTCTCTCGCTCTCTCTTTTTTTGCATCCCCCACTCCGAGGAATGAGCGGGGGGGAAACCAATAACAGGTAATACACGAAGGTAACAATGGATATGTACGCGAGAGATTCTATAGGACAGGGAAAATAAAGGAAAAGGGAACAACAACAGACGCTATCACTTAAGAATCATCAACAAGACGCTTCTGCGTCCAAGCACGCTGGGCTCCATCTAGAAGAACATCCATGTTCCCGCTGTTATCGCACATGCTGCGGAAGAGGCCGTCTTCTTTGTTGATGAGGTTCCAGGGGTGATCGTACTCGATAACGCGGCCGTGGTCGAGGACAAGGACTTTGTCGTAATCTATGATGGTTTGCAGACGGTGTGCAATTGTGATGATTGTGCTGCTGCTTAGTTCACGGAGGGTCTCTTGGATCTTGGCGTCGGTGGCGTAGTCGATGGACGCGGTTGCTTCGTCCATCATCAAGACGCGGGGGTTCTTGAGCAAAGCACGGGCGAGACAGAGGAGCTGGCGCTGGCCTTGGGAAAGGTTTGAGCCGGACTCTGAGACTTGGCTGTCGAGGTTGTTGAAGACATTTTTATTGTCAATTACTGTCACTGCGCTGCTGCTCACGCCGTTACCGTTGGCGTTGGCGTTGGCGTTGCTTTCTGTTGCGGTGAGACTGCTTGCGGTTGTGGGGGTTGCGGTGCCTGAGATGTTGGATCCGATTAGGTGCACGCGACGGAGGGCTGTGAAGATCTGCTCGTCGCTGAAGAGACCGAATGGATCGAGGTTGCTGCGGAGGGTTCCTGTGAACAGGGTCGGATCCTGGGGAACAATGGTGATTGACTCGCGTAGATCCCGTAGGCCGATTGACCCAATGTCAACACCGTCGATGATGATCTGGCCTTTCTCGGCTTCGAGACCGCGGAAGAGAGCCAGCGCGAGAGAACTCTTGCCAGCACCTGTGCGACCCACAATACCGACCTTTTCGCCAGCCTTTACAGAGAATGAAACCTCCTTGAGAACCGGGTCCAGATCGGACCGGTACCGTGTAGTGTAGTTGTTGAACTCGACCGCACCTTGACTGGGCCAATCAGACCCAGGTCGTGATTCTTCAATGACAGGGGCTGCTTCCTGGTCTACATCAAGATATTCTCTTACACGCTCGACAGAGTTCATGTTTTGCTGGACCTCAGAGTACAGACGCACAAGCCAGAGGACGTTCTCTGTGAACGTAACAGCGTAGGTCAGTGAAAGACCCGCGGCACCTGCATCGATCGTCCCAACGTTCAGCAACACAAAGGTAGCCGAGAAGAAAGAGACCAGAGCACCGGTCCAGTCGACACGGAGAGCGAGCCAGCGGTTGCTAGCCCAGAGGTAGATGTGCGGCCGGTTGTATGCATTGATGCGGCGATGGTTGTCGACCATGAAGCGAGGGCCATCACCGTATGCACGGATCGTGACGATACCGTTCAGGGTCTCACCAAACTGCTGGTACAGCGGACTGCGCTGCACAGATTCCAAGCGCTTGAGGTCTCGGGAAGAGTTCAAATAGACGGCACCGAGGGCGGTGTACACCAGAGTGATGAACACACCAGCAATCAAGAATCCTGGTGTGATCCACGAGATCAGAATGACAATCATAACCACAGATGCCAGACTGTGGAGCATGCCGATAGCAACAGGAGCAACTTCCTGATCGACAGACTCAACGTCCTTAGAGAACCGGTTCATCAGTTGTCCAAGAGGCGTGGAGTCAAAGAATCGGAATTTGGCGTGCATGACCGCCCCGAGAAGACGATCATGAATCTTCCATGATGCATGGAGCGAACCCCAGAACAAAACAGCTTCCCGAGACATAGAGATTACGATGTAGAGGAATCCCAGGAGCGCATAGATACTCAAGTAATAAGCCACGTTCACCTCGCCATCAACCTCGCTAGCAGAGCTTGCGCCAAGTTGGGGCAGACTCCAGCTGCTCACGCGTCCGACACTTCCAACGTTGAAAGTAGGGAGCTTGAGGTGGGCTGCGGCGGCGTACTGCCCAGCATCCTCAGTCCCAAACTTGGAAGTATGGTAGGAGTTTGCCCACTGTCGAATCCAGAGGTTGGTGGAAACAGAACCCAATTGCTGCAGGCAGAATACAAAAACAGCACCGACCCAATAGTACCATGGGCCCATGGCGCGGAGATACATGCTGACGGTGGACCACTTGATACTACCAGTAGCCTTGGATTCAGATAGCTTGGCCTTGTCTTCTTGCTTTCCATTCGGACTGCCGTTCAAATCTTCATCCTCGGCTTCACGGTCTGACGGGACACGGGAGTGTCCACGAGAGCCGGCCCGAGAACCGGGTCGAGACTTGAGGAACTCATCGCCCAATGCACCAGTAGCAGCGACATCGTTGGGACGACCCTGGACGGAAATTCTGCCGTTCTCAAGTACCACAACGTGATCCGATTCGGGTACAGTCAGAGCGACGTTATGTGTTACCAGAATACATGTGCGGTTCAACATCAGAGGACCGGTAAGCGCTTCACGGAAGATGTGCTTGGCGGTATGAGAGTCGACGGCAGAGAGACAGTCATCTAGCAGCAAGTGGCGGCCACTGCTGTAGACTGCGCGGGCAAGGGAGATTCGTTGCTTCTGGCCACCAGATAAACTGATGCCCTTCTCGCCAACGAGAGTTTGATCACCAGCATCAAGAATAGCAAGATCACGTTCCAGGGCGCATGCCTTGAGAACTGCACGATAGCGACGCTCGTTATAGGGGGAGGCGAAGATGATGTTTTCCTTTACGGTGTCATTGACCAACCACGCTTCCTGGGCACAGTAAGCAATGCTGTCAATCAGGCCAGTTTCAGGGTCCACTGGGAGGTCTGCCCTGTTGGACATTCCACCCGGGAGATGAACACGACCCTCGAGAAGTTTCATTTCTCCGAGCAAAGCCATGAGCAGGGACGTCTTTCCAGATCCAGTGGGTCCAACAATGATGTTAAGCTTGCCGATAAGGAATTCAACGTCGACATTGATCAAACGGAAAGCGTCCAAGTCGGCATCGGCATCGGTATCTTGGGACTCAGTGGTGGAGCTGTTCCAGGACAGCGTTGCCTTTTCAAGACCAATCTTGGCAGGTGTTCCTTCCGTAGCGCTATCACGGAGTTGATCGTATTTGCCCGTTTCCTCCTCGTTAAGGTACTTGTCCACACGGTCTAGAGAAACTTTACATTCCTGGACGTGGGCCACCATATCGGCGAGCTGGTCCAAGGGCACACGCAGCAAAGAGAACATGGACAAAGCAGGGAAAGCGATTGAGGGTGTCAATTGTTTCTTCTCCACCACGGTGTACAGGAAGAAGGACATGAACGTGATAAGAATGGGCGTGCCGTACCAGACGGTTGCGGCGGAGGACCAGAGGATATAACGCCTGCGCAGGGCTTTTAGTTCAGTCCTGCGCTTCTCGCCGACAATGTCCTGGAATCGCTGCTCCCAAGCAAAGTACTTGATGATGCGGATGTTTTGAAGGACTTCGTTGGTGGCGTGAATGCGGGCATCGGTGCCCTTCAGAATCTGGTTCTGGACCTTGTTGAACTGGCGGGCGATGAAAAGGTTGATAGGCAGCATGAGCGCCATTAGGGCGATACCGGCAAATGAGCTGAAACCCATGATGTGGTAGAGCAAAGCAATCGCCATTATGATCTGCACTGGCACACTAGCCCACAAGAAGTGGAGATAGGCGCCAACCTCGCTTACCTTGAACGAATCGATCGCCATCAAGTTGATAATTGTGCCAACATTGGCTTGTGTAGGTTCCTCCGCTTCTGTGTCTGGCTTTTTGCCAACCTCGGCATCATTTCCATTCGCGGCCTTCTTCTTGCGACCAAAGGAAAAGAGCTTTCTTTTCTTATCCTGGGGCAAGATTGGATCTTCTTTTTTGACAGCCTCCAATGAAGCGCCAGCCTTGCGGCGAAGAGCTTTGGCATAGATTTCACCAATAATGATCGCACGGACTTTTACGCCCATCTTACGACCAATGAATAAGGATTGACCATCTGCCACACCTTGGACCGCGGCGCAACAGAAAAGCAGAATAGCGAACAACCAAGCCGCATTGGGCGTGGTCGATCGCGGATCTTCCACGTACTCAAGGATAGCCTTGAGGAGCAGACTAGGCATAAAAACGAATAGATTGGCGAAGATTGTCCAGGCACCCTGCTCTAGAAGTGTGCCCATGAAGAACCGAATCAGCTTCCATGCCAAAGAGCCTTTCATTTGTCTCTTGCGGAAGTCTGTAAGCACGTTCGAAGCCTTCTGAGACGGAGTCAGATTCCAAACATCCGCAAGCTCCAGGGGTTGGCGATAGCCCTTCATGACCAAAGGGTCGAGCCAGGAAAATGTCGCAAGAGACAACAAACTGGCCATGGGATGTGTCGGAGGCTCCAATCCATCTTCGCGCTCAACCAGAACTGGTTTATTGCCTCGACGAGTGGTGATTGCAATGAGCAGCAGCACCGTACTCAGAGTGAACTGAACGCTACTGAGAATCAGGGCGTGCTGGGACAAGGGGTGGATAATGGCGGATCGGAAGACCATGACGTTGAACAACCACTGGAAGCTGTATAGAATTGCTGTATGGGTCCATAGTCTTGGCGCGGAAAAAAGATCCAGGGTCGATAAGAGGAACCGGACCAACACCAAGAAAAGGATATAGCCCCATGATACAAGCCCAGCCACGGCGGGAAGGGTTCCATGTCGGCCCCAGGCGTGAGTGGACAAAATGACGATGTAGAGCGCAACTTGTCCAATTAAAGCCGCGATTTCGAGTAATACAACGGTTATCTCTCCACGCGGGCGATTCACCTCAACCTGAGATTGTTCGCATCGTACAGATTCGGATAGTATCGTATCGGACTCGTTTTCCTGCGTCGCACTAGGGACCTCCTCTTCGGAATCATTGTTCGGGAGGACCTTGTAAGCAACACCTTGTCGGGTGAGGACATATCGATGAGCGAGGCGAATTAGGATCAGCAGCAGCGAAGCGCCGCAGACTGTGAGGGGAAGTATGACCTGAAGGATGCTATTAAGATGTATCTTGTGATCAGCATAAAATTTCAACGGTCGGGATTGCTATTGGTGTAGACCCACTTGCGCTGGAAGCAACGAGAAAGGTCATCAATGGCCCAGACGGGGCCTTGACATTGCGGCAGCATGTTTGACCGCAAAGCTTGCAGAAAACTGAAGCTCTCGGACCTCGCGCGACTCGATCACACAGCTCTTCAGCTGGTGACAGTAATGAATGGATGATGCGACCGGGATTTGATTATTGTGAATCACCCCTTTAGCGACACTATCTTACTAGATTGCCGGACAGGGCTGGCATCGCAAAGTCAAGATGAACTGTGACGCTGGGATGAGGGTTTCGGGATCGAGGGCCGTAGAGGCAAAAGAGTAGGGGGATGTCCACTCAGATGCTGCAAAGGAAGGATCAAAGATCTTTTAAGGGTATGTTGAGGATATCTGGGCGGGGGAAGAATTTCGAAGAGAGAAGATGGCAAATGTTCCAAAACCGGCGGTGGACGGACTCCGGGTAGAGCGTGACATTGGCCACCACCTAACTTTGGTGGTGGAGTGAGGTACCGGATACCTCCCACTAATAATGTGGCTAATATTTTTTTCTATAGGGGTTTCTTCTGTCAAGCTATTATCGACTTAAACTCTTTTGGGAGCCCGAGGGGTAGCAAATTGCTAATGTTTCAGATGCGGTATTCAAATGGTTCAGATGACCTATCTCAATCGGCCTATCCCGGTTCCCCTCACAATGTCTTAGATCGTCTTATCATCTTTCAAAAAGGTTGAAGTTGCGATACAGTACTCTCACTACAATATGTATAGGTATCGGGCATGGTCAATCTTGATATTCTCGTATAGCACTGTATATTAGTAGTCCATCCACTCCTCCTCCTCATCGGAAAATGCATCATGGTAGGGGTTCCTCTCAAGCCAAGCGTCAGGATTGAAAGTGCGCCCAAATTCGAGATAAAACCGAGTTAGAAGGCTGTTGAAGCCTTGACTACATGTCAGCAAATCCTTTTCTCTTAGTGACTTATCTTAGCCATACTATCAAGTGACATGGCATGCGCGGGTTGTAGGGAGAAGCGAGAAGTATGCTCACGGAAAAGAATCAACGAATTTGGAATAGTGGTTCCTTATAGGACAGAAAAATTAGTTTGGCATCTCTGAACAAAGTCATTTTAATCACCTTTGGGTATGCACAAGTAATGAGCTTCGGCGGCAGCCTTGCCACTTTCTACCTCTTCCAAGTAATAGTCATTCGACATCCGTGTGACCTTTTGCATCAAATGCGTATTTGGCATGAATAATGCACCATTGGAACCTAAATGGGTTAGCAAGCGAATAATGTGAAATGGCGTTTCGCATACACTTGACAGTTCTACTTGGGTACACCAAGCCGTCCGCATTGACTTCTACTCCATCTTCGGCTTCCCGGCCATATTGTTCAAAAGCTTTGTCATAAAGTCTTGAGTCACGGTGTATCTGAAATCGATACAAGCTCGCTGGAAAAGCTGAGTGCGCCGAGACATATGAGAAAAGGCAGCGATTCGGGAGACGTGAGATGCTAAGCACAGGCGCCTGCACATGACGAAGGATATTGGGGAACATTTTTAGATGCAGACGATATTGTCTTGAATCGAGAATTATAAAACTTACTTGTTGCTAAAGGAGCTTGATGACGAACCAATCACATCACTGCCCAAGGTATGTTTCCCATTCGATCAAAACCCCTACAATTACAATAGTCGAAGATCTTTAGCTAGGATCTCTATAAAATTTCCAACAGCTTCATGCTTGATTATTCGGGAAAGACTCATGAGGTCATAAGTACAGCGTGGGAGTTGGACTTATATACCTATATAGTTTATAACCGTGTCGTGTAATTCAAAACTCAACGTCTCTGCGGCAAACCTCAGCGATTAGTGATAATTGCGGCAACATAAGTACATACACTGAAGTTGACGTAAGAACAACGTATGCATTAGGGATGTGTTTGCCACGGAAATGGCGCGGCAACTCAAACGGCCACTCCACTCGGTAATCTACTTTGGTAAATAGGGGCTACATAGGCTAGTGCATGATTTGTACCTTAAATTCGGGTATCTATATTTTCAGAATGCCCCTAGCTTCGTAGATAACGAATAGATGACCAACTATATTCAGTATTTGTCAATGCTTGAGTAAAACTTTGAATCTCGAGCTCAGGGCTGGGCTAAATAGCCATATAAGCTCTCAAGATGTTCCATTACTTCCATCCATCGTACCTAAATGGATCCCTGTCGATACCAAAAGACTTTACTTCTACGATAATGGAGAATAGCAGTCTCGACAACGTAGCCCGTGACCCTTTGAGGGAGTTTATCATCCCAAACCATGGACAACGATGGTGAGATGTCTTCTCACCCTGTGATCGTCTTGCCCATTCTCGCATTTCCTTTTTTCGTATACTGGTGGTAAGGCAGTGTGTTATCTCCCATACTTTGTATCATTTGAATAACTTTGGGGCAGGATTATCTCCATTACAACTCTAATACCTATTGCCTACGCCAACCGCAGTCTTCTAGGCCAAGGCCTCATGTGTCTTGGGCTTATGATAGGTACATTGGTAGCTGAAGCCTTTTTCAGTGGCCGATTAGAGGACGAAATCATTGGAAGAATAAGGGCAGAGAAGGATTCAACCCGAGATGCGAATCTGGTATTGGAGTGTCTTGTTCGTTTCGATGTCATACTCATAAGCCCAAGCAGTTCCTTGAAGCAATACAGTCCCGTCACTCTAGATGCAGCCCAGGGCATCAGGTAGGATTGTGATAATATTAACAATCTAACATGCCCTAAAAAAGCAGAGAACCATAAAAACTCGGACCCGGTAGTACATCTAGGTCATGCAAACACGACAGCCTGCTCCCGCATGGTTGGACTAGCCAGCAACTGCCCAACCGTCGCCTCCACTCCTTCACTCTTCAACGCGTCTTTCAACGCTGCCACTGTCACTAAATCAGCCCCCCATTCCAAAAAGCTCACATTTTCCACATTATTCCCCGAAGAAAGCATCCATCGGTTAGGAAATACAGCCTTCCACGCCTGATGCACCCGTCTCTGCACCTCAGGATCCGCCTTAGGTGCGTCCACGACAGCCCGTTCCTGTCTTATCGGGAATGGCGGGGCGAGCCCATTCACAACACCCTTCATCGAGGTGAAAGACTGGTTCATTTGCTGAGAAAGGCTGTTAATACAAGCCTCTAATTGATCCAGGATCGTGATAGCCATGTGTTCGGGAATGAGCTGTCGGCTGAAGTTGACATGGATCACGATGTTGTCTCCCTCTGGTCTCGACATAACAGCCAAATCCGCCATGTCCCAGACTGGCTCTGTCCAGCTGAGTTTGCAGGTTTCACCTCCAAAGTTCATGGCTGTGACTGAATCATAGTCAGTCCAGACTTCGATATCTTGATGCACGACCAGCGAGCTGAAACGGGCCCAATGCGGCCACTCGGTACGTGCGGCCATGGTCTGTTCGAATGGGGCGCTTTCATACGGGACTCTGGCGATGGATTGGTCTTTGATGTCTGCTAGGATGTCGCGAACGGTTCTGTGGTTCATTTGAACCCGGACTGGGACAACGTTGGCACAGGGCCCCAGCACAGTCTCGACGTTTTCCATATCCAGGTTCCTGTTGGCAATGACCTCACCAAAAACTACATCAGATGACTGTATCAGCTGACCAAGAATCATGGCCCAGGCTGTCTTGAGTACGTTGGAAGGCTGGTAGCCGATCTGCTCCCACACGGCTCGGGGAATGCTGCGAGGAATCAATGCATCCATATAGTTTGAAACGGAGGGGGTGTCGTGCTCCACTAGATTGGACATTTTAGTCTCTCCCATTGTTTTTTCCCAAAATTTACGAGAGGCGGTTGTATCCGCGGCATGCACGCTGCGGACAAAATCACCAAATCTGGCTGGAGTAGACATGGTGTCTCCGACGTATGCGGATTGAAGATCCTGCAGAAGAATAGAGATGCTAGATCCATCGTACTGGGCGTGAGACAGCCGAATTATGAAGCGACTAGTCCGTTGCTGGAGATCACGAAGCATAATGAATCGCAAAATGGGCTTATCAAAAATGCTGCAAGACTTCTTGTCTTCAGCAATAAATTGCTCACTGCCGTTAGCGAGATTGCCGTTGACTTCTTCAATATGAATATCAGTGGTAGAGGGCTTGCACACAACCTGCAAATTCTCGTTGTCTTGACCTCTCACAAAGACAGTCCGCAGGATTGAGTGATGGCGTACTAGCTTCGTGCATGCGGAAGTCAGACGGATGATGTCGATTGTCGAGGGAATGGCAATGCAGTAGTGGTAGATCAAACCTGCGTTTTCCACCAAACTGCTGCACAGCATTCGCTTCTGCAAAGAGAGACACGGTACGACGTCTTCAATTTCTGCCTCTGACAAACCCATTCGGGCCAGTGCTGCTGCGGGTATCTTCGCTGCTACGGAGACTTCCTTGGTGGTATTTGAAGTCATCTCTTTGGTGATTGTGGTTTGCGCCTTTGGTGCAGTTTTACTGGCTATTGGCTTCACAATGCTGGCCATCTCGGACAATACTGGAGTGTTATAGATATCCCGAACGGTGAGAGAGTAACCGGCCTTGCGTGCCGAGGCAACCAATCGCATGGCCCTAACTGAATCGCCACCTAGTTGCAAGAAATCATCCTGGTGGCCGATCAGGTCGGATTTAATATTTAGAACCTGTTCCCAGAGATGCACCATGGTTTCCTCAGCACTGGTTAACTGTCTTGATTGCGCAACTTCCAACTTGTTGAGGTCCAGGAAGTATGACTCGTTGATGTCGGGTACGACCTTGTCTAACACACCATCGTCTGCATCACCAGTAGTCAGAACGGGAATGTGAGAGACTGGAACAAACTGTGGAAATTTGAAAGATGGGATGGACGCCTTCAGGCGTTCAATTCCCAGAATAATCTTTTCACGGATCGCATAATGACCAGGTGAGTCCTCTTGCAGGAACACTGGGTGAGTTCCCCCAGATTCAGATTTGAGGGAAACGAAGACAACGGTAATCGAGCTCTCTCCAGAAGGAGAGAAAATTTTAACAGCATATTTGATGTCTCCTGGTAATGATCGTTCGACTTGGGAATTTGTTTCCTCTAACAGTCGCAGTTGAATCCGGCTGTTGTCTGACTTGCGCACCTTATCAATGTAGGAAACAGTTCCGTCTTCGTTGTACCGTACCAGAAGGCCAGTGGGCATGAGTTTCCCGATGTATATAGGTGAGTTGGTGGGCCAGAATCGGTTTGCTGATGGGCGGAGCTTGGGCTTGCTATTATCCTCAATGAGCAGCTCGCCAATTGCCCCGATACCAGCAAGTTGAGTAAAATTTCGCGGGCTCACGATCCATGGACGATAGCTGCTAGCTTGAGAAATACTCTTTTGTTGTTCTTGAGCAAGAAGGATGATCTTCTCGCTGAGTGGGGCATGCTTGGTGTTCCATTTGATGATTTCGAGAAGGTCCTGAGGGCAAGACCCCTGAATATCCTTGATCCTCAAGGTGTCGTCCGCATCCCATAGCTGGTGCAGAATAGACTCCAATTGATGCAGGATTCGTTCAGTTTGTCTTAGGCTCATGACCTTCGAGTCAAAGTTGACCGTTGTCTTGACGGGTTCTTCGTCAAAAAACTCGCATTCTACATTCAATGGATGGATGTAGAACTTGTCCATGTCATGATTGAGCTCAGTGTAAGTAAATCCATCAGGCTGGGCCTTGTTAACACCGGCCTGGACAACAAACAGGCTATTGAAGTTGCAGGCAGCAGTCGTATCTGCGTTGAGCGATTGAATCTCGGTCCATCCGAGAGACTCGAACGGCATCATGGCAGTCGCTTGTTCCTGGAAAGTAGAAAGCAACTTGGTGACTTGCTGTTCGGGCTCGAAAATTGCCCGAACTGGGACGGAAGTCACAGTTGGCGCAATCATTCGTTCAATACCTGGGATGTCTACATTCCGGGCGGCGTGAACTCCTCCAAATATCACATCGTCCTCTGCTGTGTATTGAGAAATGAGCAGAGCCCAAGCAACACGGAGCACCGATGAAACAGTGACACCAGCAACAGCCGGCTTGCCAGAGGGCAACTCGTATTCCATCCTGCTATCGACGTGAACCTGGTGATTCTTAGGAACGCTGGGGAATCGACTCGTTGGGGCACCTGCCAAGTACGACTTCCAGAAATTCCGGGCCTCGCTCTTATCCTGCCTTTGAAGCACATCAATGTACTCGTTGAATCCGAGCCCAGGGTGGTTTTTACGACCTTGGTAGTTGTTGCTTAGGGTCTTCCAGAGTGTTGGCAGCGACCAACCATCATACAAGGCGTGATGCAAGCTGATAATAACGATAGGACAACCTGTCTCCTGGTCACGGGAAATAGCAGAGCGGCAAAGTGCCTCACCAAAGGTCATACCAAGTGCCTGGTCTTCCTGGAGATAGTTGTCCAAATCGGCGTTGACAACCCATTTGGGGGAATGATTAGAGATGACCTGCATGGAACCGAAAGCATCAGTATTAACAATCCGAGTTCGAAGGATTTCGTTTTCGGAGATAGTCTTTTCCCACGCAGATCTAAAACGATCAACATCTGCATCATGGTGAAGTTTCAGACAGAACTGAGCCATATATGCGCCTACAATTCGCGTGGATGTGATGAGCGTCTCCCTTTGAGATGACAGAGCTGGATAGATATCCTGAATGTCCTTCGTACTGTGGTCGGGCAAATTGGAGAGAACAGCTTCCACAATGGTGTCACGGTCATCACCCAGAAGCTTGAATGGTACAAGGCGATTAACCTTGGAGTCCTTGGCGATAGTACACTTCTTGGCCATATCTCCCAGCCTGTGGAAACGGAATATATCTCTCACTGTCAGGGAGATGCCCTCACTGCGGCAAGTGGCAACTAGTTGCATAGCACTTAAAGAGTCACCACCTATGGAGAAGAAGCTATCCTGGGCAGAGATTTCGCTCTTTTCCACGCCGAGAACAACAGCCCAGCACCTTTGGAGGACCTGTTCTTGTTGGGTTGTCACAGCAGTGGTTGTCTTTTGGGTATTAAGAATGCTCTTCATTTCGCGAACGGTAAGACCCGCACCAATCTCCCGCAGTCCCTTGCGGTATGTCTTTCCGGACAAGGTCATTGGCATTTGCTTGAGCGGTAGAAAAACAGTTGGAATCATATATTTGGGTACAACTCCAGTAATTCCAGAGATGATATTCTTTGCAATATCTCTGGTCATCGACCTGGTGATCTCGCTGAGGTTTTTCAGATCTTCTGGTCCATCGTAATAATCCTTAAGGACGATGAAGACAGCAAGAACAGCGTTATCCTTAGTACCATTCTCAGGAATAACCAACTCCACAACCGTTTCAGCCCATTCCGGTGCGGACTGCTTGACGTGGTATTCGATTTCACCCAGTTCAATACGTTGGCCATGGTACTTGATCTGTGTGTCCTTTCGTCCCATATACTGCAACATACCATCAGAGGCACTGTAACGTCCAAGATCGCCTGTTCGATAGAACCCAGTGCCAGCAGGCATTGGCCCAAACCGACTGCGCCATTCAGGTGCAGAGATGAAGGCCGCCCGTGTCTTGACTGGCTCATTCATGTACTCTCGTCCAACAACACGACCTTCGATGACAATCTCTCCGACGCACCCGACAGGTGTGAGCTTATCAGCGTTGTTGGGCTCAACGATCCAGCATCTTCCCGTATACGCATGACCGATATCCTTTGTGTCCGAGGTCTGCTTCAAGCTGTTGGTGCAAACAACACCACAGCATTCGGCATTTCCATATCCGTGTTGAAGGTCGACACGGTCAGCCCATTCCGCAATTTGTGCAGCACGGATTGCTTCGCCGCCAATGGAGAGTGCCTTGAGAGATGGGACAGTCTCGGGTTCTAACACACCAAGTAAAGATGGCGTAAGGAACGCCCAGTTCACGTTACGATCCCGGATTGCATTGGAGATGTTGTTCATACGTTCCTCGTCAGACAGAACGCAAACGCATCCGCCATGAATCATTGTAGTCAATATCTCAATGATGGAAGCTGCGAAACTGTATGATGCAAACTGCAATGACCGAGTCGATGGATTCATTCCAAATGCTTGACCCTGTCCCCACCCACTCGTACAAAAGGATCCGTGTTCAAGAACACATCCTTTGGGCTCACCAGTACTTCCGGAAGTAAACATGATATAGGCAGCATTGCTCGGGCCAACATTGACACGATTCAGGGTATCGGTCGAGGTGGGAAGGTTAGGGACTGTGCTGTCATCCAGAATGAACATTTCAGGGATGGACAATTTGCGGAGGGCTGATCGACCAGCAACCACCACCTTCGCAGATGTCTTACGGATAATGAGCTTGATACGCTCAATTGGCAACGCCATATCCAAAATAGTGAATGCTCCACCAGCTTGGAGAACTAAAAAGGGTTAGTACCGATAGGACCCGCGGCTGAGTTGTGGTGACTTACCTCCTAAAACACCAACAATTGTCCACATCGATTTGTCAAAAGCCAATGGCACGATTTCTTCTGGACCAACACCACGAGAGACCAGCTCAGCAGCCAAGCGGGAAGAAAGACTAATCAGTTCCTGATAGGTAAGGTTACCATCCCAAGAATCGACGGCTGGAGCACTCGGGTTTCTGTTACAGTTCTTCTTGATCATGTTATGCACACAATCATTGATTGGCTCTGTGATGTTGGAGTTCCATACACCAATCTCACTCTCATCCTGAGGGCTAGCAAGAAGTAAATCATCAACCGTAGCGTTTTGGCCGTTGCACATCTGTTGCAGGATATTGTCGAGCTGGAAAAGAAGACGAGAAACCTGGTCACCATTGATCAAGTGTTTATCATGGCTAGCCAGGACATTGACACCGAAGTCAGTCAATTCACAGCTAAATAGCAAACCATATGTGTGAAGACCGTCCATGTTGTCATTTGCGTATTTTCCAGTGAACAACTTGACATGGCCCATCTGATCTGGTGCCTGAACAACCAGTAGACTGAGGAAATCACAGGCATTGTGAATCTCTTCGCTGAGACTTTGGATGTTCTGCAGTCCGTAGTGCTGATGAGGAATGACGGTTTTGGCGTATTCCTGCATCTCTGTCAAGATTTCCGTCAGTGGCCGACTCCGTCGGGTTTTCACAGTGTCTCCGAAGTTGGCAGCTACATAATCACACAATCGGACTCGGATGGGGACTGTGGTGATTGTTGGTCCAGCCATATCTTGAATGCCTTCCAGATCTACAGTTCTACCAGTCAATGTGGTACCTACCACGACCTCTTCTTCTTCGGTGAGACGAGCGAGAAGAATAGCCCATGCGGCTTGAATCAACGTAGAAGCCGTGACACCCATAGATCCAACATTTCCCAGTTTGATCTCATGTCTCCTGCTGCTCTGGGGCTTTGGCACATAACCTGGAAGCACGAGTGTTGGAAAGCACGTTTTCTTTGCACCGGCAAGATAGTTCTTCCAGAATTCTGCCATTGGACCCTTGTCAAGATATTGTGTGAACCGAAGGAAAGTACTGAACTGGTCAGGAACGAGATTTTGACCAGCATAGGCCTTGTGAAGACGTTCCTCGAGCAGCTTCAAAGTCCAACCGTCATAGATTGCGTGATGCAGCGTGCAAACCAGTTTCGTGGAATTAGAGCGTTTGTCGAGGATAATGGCATGTTGACTCAAGGGCTCGCCTAATTGCATGGACAGGTCCTCTGACTTGATATACAAATCCAAGTCGTCTGATTTCCGCCAATTAATAGTATCACGTACCACAACCTGGAGAGTCTTGTCATCATCAATAGAGATGATCCGGGTTCGCAGAGCTGGTGAAGCTGCATAGACAGCTTCCCACGCTGTCATGAGGGCGTGTGTGGGGACAATCCCAGCGACCGAAAAGACATATTGGCCAACATATGACCCTTGTTGTCGGTATGAGATCGCCATGAATCCTTCTTGCAAAGGGGTACATGGATAGATATCCTCAATGACATCTTCGGAGACATCGCAAGCTGAGGCAGCCTTCTCTTTGATATCTGCAACGTCTTTTGCGTCCAGCAATGCGAAAGGCACAAGCTTACTGGTTTTTTTAACTTTTCCAGAAGACGCAACGGACGCCATATCGCAGAGTTTGGGGTTACGCAAGACGTCTTCAACCGTCAGCGACACACCGTTTGAACATGCGGCCACCACTAGTTTCATTGCGTTGATAGAATCACCTCCAACTTTGATAAAGTCGGATTCGGCACCAATGGCACTTGGATCAGCAAGATGTAGGACCTTGGCCCAAAGACCCTGCAAAGCACATTCCATAGGTGTACTGGGTGGCCTAGAACCGCTCTTTTGCTTCTGTTTCTCCTCCAACATTTTCTCTCCAATTTGGCACATCGTCTTTCGGTCAAGTTTACCAGACGAAAGAGCAATGGGAAAATCGGACAACGTTAGAAAATCGGAGGGAACCATGTAACTGGGAAGGTTCTGGTAAAGTGTGGATTCGATTTGAAGAAAAAGCGATGCATCGAGGGTAGTTTCTTTCGACTCGAGGAAGCCAACGAGCTTGGGTGGGTAAAGGTTATCCGAGGATGAGATGATCATGGCGGCTGTATTCATTCCTTTTGGAGCACAGAGGTTAAGATGATGTTCAATCTCTCCAAGTTCCATACGATGTCCGCGGAGCTTGACCTGAGTGTCCTTGCGGCCCAGAATATGGATGCAACCATCGCTGCCGTATCGCGCAAGGTCACCGGTGCGATAGCACCGAACCATCTTCTTGTTGTCGAAACAACTGGGAATCTCAATGAAAGCAGCATCCGTGGCGGTGGAGTTGTTGAGGTATCCACGAGCAAGACTTGGACCTTCAATAAGCATCTCACCAATTGCACCCACTGGAGCCAGCCGGTGAGGGTCTTTGGGGTCCGCGAGGTAGATGTGTCCCCATGTGCTCTTTCCAATGTTGCTAGGGGTGGCGTCTATAGTCAATCCTCGCTGAAGGGTGATGCAAACTGCAGCCTCAGTTGGTCCGTATGCCTGTGCGAGATGCACGGATTCAGCCCAGTCCTGGAGGAATTTTCTTGGAACTGGTTCACCTCCAGTCACAACCATTTTAAGTCCGGTTGCTTCAGGGTTGAGCAAGGAGCCCGCTGTTGGAGTGAACAACGCAATGTTGGCGCGCAATCTCCTTATCGCACCTTCCACATCGTTCATGCGGTCATGCTCGGATGGAATGCAAACACAACCTCCACACATGAGAGCGCTGAGGGTTTCAAAAATACTTGCGTCAAAGGTATAGGGAGCAAATTGAAATACACGGGATTTTTCATTCATGTTCAGATCTCTCAAGTATCCAAATGAACTCGAGCAGGAGGCTTTGTGTTCCATCAATACTCCCTTGGGTTTCCCAGTGCTTCCGGAAGTGAACATAACATATGCCAGGTCATCAGGTGTGGACAAGCCATGGAGTTGTGACAAATTGACTGGTGAATTTTCAAGGATATCGCCGGATAAAATGGCCAGGGGGGCGACAAATGACAATTTCCCGGCCTGTGTTGGCGAGGTCACAACCAATGGAGCTTCAACCTCTTCTACCACAAGACGAATGCGGTCCATGGGCTGCTCTGGTGTCAAGGGAACAAAAGCAGCTCCAGCTTTTAGAATTCCGACCATGGCAATCAAGACAAGTGAAGATCGCTCGATACAGAAGGGGATCTTAGAGTGTTTGGGAATCCCCTGGGCCAATAGATAACACGCCAGACGGTTTGTTAATGTCTCAAACTCCCTATAAGATACAACTCCATCAAATGTACAAAGAGCATCAGAGTCGGGATTGGCTTTGGCACGGCAGCTGATCACATCATGAATACAAGTGTAGCTAGTGGATAGTGGCGAACTGTTCCAGCCAAGGATTTGCTCGCGGTCTCTCTTGCTCAGTGGCCACATTTCTTCAACCAAACCGGCTGGACTGGCTGTCATGTCAGCCAGAAGCTGAGCCAAGGTATGCTGCAGGTTGCAGGCTTGGCTGAAAGAGAGATAAGACGAATTGTACTTAAGCTCCAGAGTGGTTCCGGCAGCTGATACAGTCATAATCAGGAGCACATCAAACTATATGATTCAGTCAGGTCGCCCAAGCGGAGGGGTTCTTTCTATGCCTACCTTCGCATTGAATCCCTCTTTAACAGATCTCATCAATATAAGGTCCTTTGCCAGCTTGCCGTTATTCTGGCCGCCTCTGACCAGGGTGGCTGTGTTGCAGACCTGCCCCGCGGCAGGCCATGGCAGAGTTCGAGCACTGGAGCCTCCGCTGGCGATATTCTGGGCAAGGCTAACAACAGTATCTTCATCTTGGATATTCAGGGCAAAAACCTGCAAATCGGACTCGGTGGTCACGGTACCAAAGCAGGGAGAGTCTGTACCAGTATAACGCTTCAGCGCAATAGCCCAGGCAAGATAAAAAAGGGCACTGAACGGGATAGAATGGGCTCCGCAAAAGGCTGAAATTCTTTCATACTCTTCAAGGATTATTGGGAGGGATTCAACCTCGTCATCGGATTTCGAGCCATCATTAAAATTAGGAAAAAGGCATGTCTCGATGCTGTCGATTGGAGACATTATTGGAAGATTTTAAAAGGGTGATAGGTGAATGGCATCCAGCACAGCTTTTGGTAACTGGAGGAACAACACTGCGCCGCGACACCCGGAATAGGAGGATTTATATCAGTTCAGGTGATTCATAGTGTGGCAGGCCTACCACCTTCAGGAAGCCGTTGTGGATAATAAAATTCAGCTGGTGAGGGAATTGTCATCCCTTTCGGAGTTGCCTTTGGGGAGGTGATTTCATAGGTTAACTATGCCTATAGACGAACCGATTGGAACCTGTCAAAAGGTATCAGATATAAGATCCCGGTCCTTAAATCCGCGAGCGCCAGAGTCTATTTCAAACCCATTTTTAATAATAAGTCTGCGACTACTGTCTCTTTGATGTCTAGTACAAAACTGGTATGAAGTAGGGAAGAGGCTGAGGAACCATTACGATTTTCAGTCAACAAGGGGCAATTCTCAGCAAGGGACCATTGTCAGCAAGGGGCCCATCACCAACTCCCTTGATCCTCTTGATTAACATAATCAGGCCGTCGTCTCGATCAGCAGACGGTTCGTCAGGTTGATGTCGCGAGGGATGTAGTTCCGTCAATTTAAAAGGGTGAGCAAAAGTGGTACCGACAGACCCAGTTGTCGAATTCTCCGCAATATCTTTTGAATATTTCTGACGGGAACAGAGTGCTCTAGATTGCTTCCTGTTTTGGTTCATTGAATGGGTGGGTAATGATCAATTGCTGGCAATAGCTCCCCCGGAGTTTGAAACCCACTGATCGAGAGGACATTGAAGAGCCAACAGGGTCCACCAACCGTTGATCATTGATTGAAAACCTGACAAAAATAGACTCTGGGAAGCGGTGTGGCTTAACGGGCTTGATCTATCACAAAACAATTTCTTTGTTGGCAAAAAATAACCTTAATGAAGCCCCAGTTTGCAAACTTGGACCAATACTAAGCAGGTATACACTGCGAGAGAAAGCTCTGACAAGGCTAAGGCCCTTGTCTTAGTCGATAACGCAGCAGTAAATACATGCAGGAAGCCCTTACGCCTCCCAAAGCCAATGTATCTCTATAGCTCCCCTCCCACCGGCCTCCCACCGGCGTGCCTAGCGTGGGACAGACTTGTTAAGTGGAGCTCTTGCGCTGATCAGGCCATAGGGAACATTCAGTAGTTACCGCAAGATTCAAGATCTGATGCCCCAAGCCGCGATAACTCTTTTGGTTGCCTCATCTAGTGCGTTCCATGCATTCGCACATGGTAGCCTCCAAATGCTTCTCTAGGTTTGTCACCGCCAAGACAATATATTTGCGTTTCTTTCTTCTTAGGTAGATTAACAAGAAAAATAAAGAAAGGACAGGCAAGCTGTAGTCGCCCACAAGCCCCCATTCGTGAGAAAGAACCCCAGTTCACCTTTTCACGGTCGTCCTTTTGGCTTCGTCTCTGTTGAATTAGAAACTGTTCATTCAGTTAACCATGGCGACCAAGCAGTGGGCTAGTAAGGCTTCCAAGTTCTTGGAGATTCCTGAAACTCTCCGCACATCTGTCAAGGCGTCGAGGGCAGAGTATCGACAGTTGGGTACAAGCGGGCTTCGAGTGTCGAATCCAATCTTTGGGGGGCTCCAAGTGGGAAGCTCACAATGGTTTCCATGGGTTTTGGATGAAGACAAGGTGAGAACCGATGCCGTGATTTGTACACTGAGAGTCATTATTAACCAAATTATCGAATACAGGCCAAGCCACTTTTGAAGGCAGCGTACGATCGAGGAATTAACACAGTATGCCTTTTTCACGAAACAAGGTGAATCGAGAGGCTGACAGATCGATAGTGGGACACAGCGAACATCTATTCGAACGGATTGTCGGAAAAGATCATGGGCAAAACCATACGAGAGTACAATATTCCGCGGCGAAAAGTGGTGATAATGACAAAGTGCTACCGGGTCGTGTGTGACGAGGAGAATTATGACCCTGGTAGTGGTATAGCAATGCTTGGAGGATATGCAGAACAGAGCAAGGACTATGTGAATGCCTGGGGTAGGGACAAGACCTTATATGGCGGTTTGAGCAAAGGGATTGAAACTGATGGATAACAGGCCTTTCAAGGGGTGCCATCTTCAACGCTGTTGAAGCCTCCCTAGAGCGTCTGGGGACACCCTATATCGACTTACTCCAGATCCACCGATTCGACGAAAACGTCCCCCCCGGAGGAAACAATGCAAGCCTTACATGACCTGGTCAAGATGGGCAAGGTGCGCTACCTTGGCGCCAGCTCAATGTGGGCATACCAATTTGCAATTCTCCAGCACGCTGCGGAGAAGTACGGCTTGACTAAGTTTGTGTCAATGCAAAACCACTACAACCTGCTGTATCGGGAGGAAGAACGGGAGATGGTCAAGTTCTGTAACCGATCAGGTGTTGGCATGGTTCCCGTATGTTTTTTTTTTTTTTTTTTTTTTTGTGTCTGATGGTCTACAAGCTGATCGACATGCCTCGTACTAATATGAATGATTCCTGTAGTGGGCACCTCTTGCCTCTGGACAGCTCGCTCGGCCTCTAAGCAGCAACGGGTCGACACTTCGGTCCTCGGTGAACAAGAACGGAGCCTTTTACTATGACGAAAAGAATACCGACTCGCAGGTGATCATTTCCCGAGTGCAAGAGATTGCCGAGAAACACGGATGGCCCATGAGCCATGTCGCCCTGGCATGGTTGAACCGACGAGCAACATCGCCTATCATTGGATTCAGCTCCGTGGAGCGCATTGATGATGCCCTGGCAGCGCGGGGGAAGCTGCTGACTCCGGAGGAGGAGGCGTACTTAGAGGAGCCGTATCGGCCCAAGTCAATACAAGGACACTGCTAGGTGTCAGGCGAATCTGCTGTACATTAAAAGTTTCTCGCGTGGGCACAAGTAGTGTTCGCTTTGAACTGGATATAAGGGCTGTGCAAGGGTAGTATATTCAGTTGTATTCCGAACGACTACAATCTAAATTACTTGTCTTTACTCTGTACAGACCTCACAAATACGAGTTTATTTAATTTTTGCTAATCTCATTCTTTTTCTAGGCATTGCATGTTCTCTAATAGGTTGTTTCGAGAACTCAACTTTGTTTGGGTAGATCGTCTGTAGTATTCTGTTAATTATATACTATCATAACCTGATGGCCAGTAAGATACAACATAATAATTAAAACCTTCTAATATAGATGAGAATATTACCACAATAAGTAAAGCTAAGACCTATTTAGATATTATTATGTCTACTACAACTAAAAGCCTTGACTTCAAGGTTAGCCGGAAAATATATATATGATTCGAGTATTGACAATGGAATAGAAAATTGAATCGAAGACAATCTGGGCATTGTTAGTTTAGGTATCCAAGATTATCCAAGCTTATACATTGAGTATAGCAAATCCAATTAAGAATTCGACATAAAAATATTTTATTGAGATTACAAAATGTATAAGCAGAATCCGAGGTGGCGCCGTGGACTGCCGGGTACCCGGCCGTCAACGCCTCTTAGTCAGGGTCGTCGCCGAAATTTCAGGCATCCGTTGATCTCAATAGGCATAGTAGGTCTCGCCCCTCAGCCCTCGTGATCCCGAGATTGCCTGAACTGTGACAGGCTTCTTAATTAATACCACGCCCACTTTTGCTTCAATTTGCGTAGGCAACCAGTGCTGCCTCGCGAGATTTTACCCATATAAGGATAGATTGCCCCGCGCGTAATCGTCTTTCCAAGTGCATCATCTTCAAATTCCCGTCTCTGATCGCGATGGTGGAACGCATCTTGATGAACGAATTCAAGACCCTTCTCAAGGAGAAGTGGGTTCACGTCCAGGTATGTTCACCATGTCACTATTGAGCGTCTTTGACACTTCTACGCCTGCAGGTAACTGACACATCTTGCACAGTTGCACGATGACGACATCTTTAACTGGGATGTCGCTTTGATTGTGATCAACCCGGACTCATTGTACTACGGTGGCTATTTTAAAGCCTCGATGACATTCCCGTCCAACTACCCTTATGCTCCACCAAGTATGACACCTTCCGAGGCCCCTTCTCGTCTTCAATGTGGCTGACGAGATTTTTTTATCACTATTAGAGTTCCGTTTCCTGAAACCTCTCCACCACCCGAACATCTACCCCAGCGGCAAGCTATGCATTTCCATCCTTCATGCGCCCGGAGAGGATGAAATGTCCGGCGAGCTTGCCTCGGAGCGCTGGTCCCCTGCCCAGCGTGTCGAGTCGGTCCTGATATCCATTATCTCTCTACTTGACGATGCCGAGCCTTCCTCCCCCGCGAACGTCGACGCTGCCGTCTTGCTTCGAAACGAACCAGAAGTCTACCGCCAACGTGTTAAGTCCGATGTCGAGAAATCTAAGATCGATATTCCTGCCGGTTTCGAGATGCCCACACACGATACTCCCGTCCGCGAGCCTGTGGAGAAGGAAGACCACGACTTCTGGGCCGATAGTGATGTCGACAGCGATGTGTTTGGTGGCAGTGACTCTGACGACGAACTCGACATGGAACAGTCTAGCGGCAGTGATATGGAGGAGGACGAAGATGAATCGGCCAACGAGGATTCCTCGGAGACGAAGAAGGTGTAAGGACACCACAACTTTCGGTGTCTTTTGTCCAGAGAGTTGCTACATGATCCACCGTTTTCATGTCTGTTTCTCTAAGCATATTCAGCATTCTCGGCGCACCTTTGTGATCTTTCATACGACAGGCGTTTAGCGGGATCATCTTTTCCCCAGCATTATGGGTTTTATGGTTTATGATAACATGCAATACCCTAATGTTGCACAGATATTTTAGCGAAATGAGATGAAATTCCAAGCCATTTTTAAACTCTCAATGAAACTTCAGCCATATCAGCCCTATCTGCATACCATCATCATTGGGTTCACTTAAGCCATATGAATCTGTATTGCCGAGCAAAAGTGGGCTCTCCCCCACACTGTCCCCCACTTTAAACCCAATGTACGTTTGTATGGATCCTATACCGGACCTGTAAATCATCCCAATATTACAACTATATCTATCTGCTCACTAAAACCAAACACCAACTGCCCCAACTTTACATGAAACAGAAACCAACCACCGATTCAAGATGGCAACACAAACCCTTGCCGACTGGACAGTCTCTTTATCCTACTCCGACCTCCCACAAGAAGTAATCCATGCCGCCATACGAAGCTTCTACAACATAGCCGGATGTATAGTCGGTGGGAGCAAGCACCCAGCAACAATAATTGCCCGTAACGCCCTATCCCCTTTCTCAGGACCACCGACGTCCCATCTCCTCGGCACAAACGCCTCCACCGACGCCATGCACGCCGCACTTTTCAACGGAATCGCCTCCCACGTCCACGACTATGACGACACCCACCTTGACACAATAATTCACCCAACAGGCCCAGTTGCATGTGCCCTCCTCGCCATAATCCCGACCCTCTCACACCCTGTTTCCGGGACCGAGTTCATAACCGCGCTGGTCGCTGGTATTGAAGCCGAGTGTAAAATCGGCCAGGCCGTCTGGCCCGCGCATTACGATGTTGGCTGGCATATTACTTCTACGACGGGTTCAATCGGCGCTGCTGTGGCGGTGGCGAATTTACTTTCCTTGTCGGCTGAGAAGGTCGCTCATGCGATTGGTCTTGCCGCTACGCAGGTGACTGGACTTCGGGAAATGTTTGGGTCGCATGCGAAGTCTTTTCATCCTGGAAGGGCGGCGCAGAATGGGTTGCTTGCCGCTTTGCTTGCGCGGGAGGGGTTTACGAGTTCGGCTGAGGCGCTTGAGGCGAAGAGGGGCTGGGCTAATGTTGTTTGTTCTGGGGGGAATAGACTTGAGGAGGAGATTGCGGGGCTTGGGAATGGTGGACAGTGGGAAATTGTGAGGAATGCGTTTAAGCCGTTCCCTTGTGGGATTGTTGTTCATCCTGTCATTGATGGGTGTGTTTGGTTGCATAATGAGTTGGAGAGAGTTGGGGTTAATGTTGCGAATGTTGAAGAGGTTGTTGCGGATGTGCATCCGCTTGTTCTGGAGTTGACAGGGAAGACGACGCCGAAGGATGGATTGGAGGCTAAGTTTAGTGTTTATCATGGTGGTGCAGTTGGTTTATTGTTGGGGAAGGCTGCGCCAGCGCAGTATGAGGATGATGTGGTACTTGACCGGCGGGTTATAGCATTAAGGGCTCGGTTTAGGGCGGTTCCTGATGAGAATTTGCGGGCGGATGAGTGTCATCTTGTTGTGAAAGTGAGGGGAGGGGCTAGAATTGAGAAGCATGTCGACTATGCGGTGGGTAGCTTGGAGCATCCAATGTCGAATGAACAATTAACGGCGAAGTTCGTTGATCAGTGTGTTGGGATTCTTGGTGAAGAGCGGACTGACAGGGCGAGTCGGTGGTGTTGGGGTTTGGAAGAACAGGCCGACGTGGGTCGAATTAATGACGTGTTGTAGAGCATATGCATGACTACATCTACTTGTTAAGGGCCTAGTTTAACCTATTTTGTGGTGTTCAAATGCCGGAGAAATCATTGTTTGATAAATCAAAACGTATTCTAAATCACTCCGAACCTATGGCTGTAGACAAGTATGCTACGCGAACCAACGAAATAGCGAACTAGCAAAAACAATCTGTGTATAGGAGAGTAGTAGCGGGATAAACCCGCGGATTCGTGTTGGAGAATCCAAAAGACCGAGATAAAACCAAAGAAATATGATGTGCGCCTGTGTTAATCCATCCATCCGTATGCCCGAGCTGTGGGGTTTGTCACAGACAGAACCCTAACAACCATCTAATCTATGCAGAGACAGCATCCTTGATCTCGCTGTAGATAGCGCCAAGCTCCTTGTGGAAGGCCTTCTCAGCGTTGTCGATGATGCTGCCAATACGCTCATCGACAGTGGGCTCCTTAGCCTTGACACCAGCCTTGTAACCACCTTCGGCAACGATCTTGGTGTAGTTGGCGGAACCACCACCGTTCCAGGCGAGAAGCTAAGATAAAGTCAGCCTAATCCATGTCATCTAGATCAGGGGGAAAACTTACGTTGGGGGTGTCGGAGGGAATGTCAGTAAGGGTGCCCTCAGTGGCTACGTTAATAAGAGTGGCCTTGAGCTGCTTGGGGGTGACATCGGCGACGGCATAGGCGGAGTCCTTGGCGGGTACCAGGGAGACGTAGTAGGCCAGCAAACCGGCGATGTGAGGAGAAGCCATGGAGGTGCCAGAAATGGTATTGGTGGCATGCTCGCTACCAACCCAGGTGGAGAGGATGTTCAGACCGGGGGCGAAGATGTCAGTGCACTTGCCGTAGTTGGAGAAGTAAGCACGCTCATCGGCCAAGGTGGAGGCGCCAACAGTGACGGCCTTCTCGGCAGCGGCGGGGGAGTAGTTGCAGGCGTCAGCGTTGTCATTACCGGCAGCAACAGCGAAGTGAATACCAGCGTCAACAGCGGCATTCACAGCAAGATCCAGGGTGCGGGAGCTACCACCACCGAGAGACATGTTGGCAACGCTACCCTTGAACTTCTTGTCGCCTTTCTTGGACTTCTTGATGTGAGCCTCGGCCGCCCATTCAACACCCTTGACGACATCGGACATAGTACCCGAGCCGTTAGAGCGAAGAACCTTAACAGCGTAAACGTTGGCCTTCTTAGCAACACCAAACTTCTTGCCGGCAATAGTTCCAGAGCAGTGAGTTCCGTGACCATTTCCATCCTCATCGGCATCACCCTGGGGGATGGTCTTGCCCCATGCAGCACGGCCCTCGAAGTCAACGTGCTTGGTGTTGGTGCCAGTATCAATAACGTAGGCATCGACACCCTCACCACCCTCCTCGGCATACAAATACTTGTTGAAGTTGCCGAAGGAGAGGCTTTCCCGGTGAGAGATACGGGCAAGACCCCAAGGGGCGTTCTTCTCAACAGTACCATCGGTCATAGTACGGACCTCAGAGTCCTTCTCAATGTAGTCAACCTATTTTTGAGTCATATTAGCCGCCGACCTCGGGAACTTCCGCAAGGAGGGAATGGGATTACTCACATCAGGATGACGGCGGATCTGCTCGATGACATCCTCGTGGAAATGACCAGCATATCCTGTAAGAGATCCAGCAATTTGGAAAGTGTGCTTCAGGCCCATGAAAGCCTCAAAGTCAAAGCCGAACAGGGAGCGCTTCTTCAACTCCATCCGACCGGTATGAGCGGTGTGCACCTCCTGTAACCAGCTCTGGTGAGCGGAGGCAGAGCTCTCGTCAACATGCTTCTTGAATACAACGATATAGGAATCCGGGATATCTCGGGAGGTCATGGAGGAGAGGATAGGAGCTGCATCGTTGTGGATGGAGCCTACTGTCACGGGCGAGGCAGCTGCCAACAACGGGAGCACGGTTAGGCTGAGGAAGCCTTTCATGCTGGGCAAAGTAAATAAGTAAACACGGCAGAAGAAACGATAGAGAAGACGATAATTGTAGGTTGGAAACGATGAGTGAAGGATAGGTTGGATGAAGAGGAGAAGGGGGAATATGAGGAGAAGGGCAGCTTATCTAGGGAGGAGACGGGGGATCGATGATGCAAGCGGGCATTACATACGGTTACGCCGGCGGATGACCTGTTAAATGTCGATCCAGTGGAGAACTGTTTGAGAATGGGGGTACCCGATACCGTATGGTATGGTCACCTTGGTCTCGGGAACCATGAAGACATCGCTTTACTTCAATGTTGTCATGGTTAATCTATTAGACTTATCATCACATGAAGTATGATTTAAGTTGTTTGAATATCTCCCGGGCACGAATAATAAGTAAAAACAAAGCACCTATAGCAGGTGGTGCAGGTGATCACCTTCCCCCCGGGTACCTGGCAGTCTCACCTTGCTATAGGCTCTAGGCAACACCCTCGCACGGCCCAAATTCTCCAAGGCAACTCATCCTCCGAAGTCGCGTGCTTGTGTTCGGGTGACTCAAATCTTCGTCCAGTCCCCCTTGTCTTGCATGGGAGTGCCATTATTGGGTGCAACTTTGCCAATCTGCGGAGAAGCCCATCACATCATAGGATCACTTCCAAGCTTCTCCACATTGCTAAGAGCTGCGTCTTATCGCGCTTATCATGTCCTATCAGCTATCGCTTGTAATTTTGAAGTTTACTGTTCTTACAATACAACAACAGGGCTGTGTACATGTGTCCAGCCCCCTCTCCAAAGAGCCACTGAGTCACCTGATATCCAACCTTCCCCTCCCTCCCCGATAGCGAATTACAGAGGTGGCTGAATATTTGACATGGCATTCTGCCGATGACGAGTGCTGCAAATTCTCCTAACTGCTAGGCTTCCTATCTTGGCACTAGCACTGTCACACACCAATGCAGAACGTCGTACCCGCTATTGAACATTCACGGTCTCTGATGGTCATACGCCATCGGAGCGGACGTGGATAAGATTTGGCTATGCCTCCACCGGCTCCCCTCCACCCTCCCTCCCCCTCAGGATCGACCGAGCGATTGGCCGAAGAGCTAGCCCCAACCATTGACCAGCTCAAGAGCGTCGGTGCAGGCACCGCGATTACTCTGACCCAGGCTCAGTCGACGACCGAATCCCTTCTCCGCCTCCGCCATACCTTCATAGATGATGCACGTCCACGCACCGCCAAAGATGCATTCCGACATCTCCATGGCTTTCAAACGCTCCTGGCGTTGGCGGGCCAGGTAGCTGAGCTCTACGACCCGGTACTCAAATCCAAGGAGGAACGAAAAGGCCTATTGGGTATCTTCAAAGATGTCCTCGGTGTATTGGCAGAGGGCCTGAAGGACCATTTTGGCAACAAGCGATATTTTGCTCGGAAGATAGTAGGGGGAGGCATTTCTGCACTGGAGCGAACTTTGACTGTACTGGTCAAAAAGATAGACACAACTGAGGGTGACGCGCAACATCTCTACGGCGCCATTTTGGCCGCAGCTCTATGCCAGGAGACAGTGTCAGGTATTTTTGTAACACTGAGCACCAAATTTCCCCAGAATAAGGACTCTTCGTCTCCGAAAGATGTCCAGGATGCCGTGGATCACTGCATTGGATCAGCTGAGACGGTGGAAGTACCGGAACTACTTGGACCATTCCTTCGTGTGTGGTTGATGCACTCCTCTTTGTCATCTGGATATGACATGTTACGCCTGGCCTTGCCCGCATGTCTCTGCCAATTGGCCTCGCAGTCTCGAAGGAACGTCGTAGCCCTGCATGCCACTGATATGCTCACCTCAATTTTACCCCTCTTATTCGATGGTGCACGGTCAGACAAGGAGAAAGTAACTTACCAAGATCTCGCCCAATTTCTCAGCGTCCAGGGCATGAGTAGCTTGGATGATGCTGTCGCTTTATACCGTGGAGCGCATGAAAATCCGCAAGTTCTAAAGGTCCTACTGTCTGCTCTAAAATCTTCTAAGGAGCCTCCATCAATACAGTTTGATATGTCCCGTCATGGATACTGCTCAGTTGAGTTTGCAACGCTCGGTCGACCATTCCCTCCTATCAATTCTTCCGGCTACACTCTTGCAGCCTGGGCCCGTTTCGACGAGTTCGATTCCAACACGCATACTACTATATTTGGAGCATTTGATGCAAGCCAAACATGTTTCATTCTTGCCTACCTCGAAAAGGACACTCGGAACTTTATTCTCCAAACTTCGATTCGAGGTTCCCGCCCTAGTGTTCGGTTCAAGTCGGCAAAATTTGAGCCAAATCGCTGGTACCATATTTGTGTTGTTCAAAAGAGACCGAAGCCAATGTCTTCTTCCCGCGCATCTCTTTTCATAGACGGCGAGTTTGTTGAACAATTGAAGATCGAATACCCATCCGTTCCCATAAGCCATCATCCAAGCAAGCCATCGCGCGTGCAGGCATTCTTTGGCACCCCTCAAGACCTGGCAATGCGCCTCGGAAAAGGCGTGTCCACTTCCCGATGGTCCCTTGCCAATGGAATGCTTTTCGACGAGGCTTATAGCGACGACATGGTAGCTGTTTTTTACAACCTTGGGCCTCGGTATTATGGGAATTTCCAGGATTGCTTAGGCTCCTTCCAGACGTACAAGGCTTCTGCGACTCTCAACCTGCGGAATGAACATCTTCACCCAGGAAAAGAGGAAGCCTCGGATATTGTCACTGCCATCCGCAAACGGGCGAGTACATTGATTCGTGAAAGCTCGATTCTGATCAATGTCTCATCTGTCGCTGTTCTTGACGACGATGATAGCAATAATATCGACGAATCACAGTTGATAAAGTGTCTCTCACGGCAGGCAGCAAAGAGTCTCCAACAGCTAACAAAGTCGGGTGGCAATGCCGTTGCTGTTAACGGTGCCACTCCGGCTATCAATGACGGCTTAACGCAGCCTCAGGGTGTCGGCATCTTGACAGGTGAGCCTGTCGTGGCGGTACCTATGGCGATGGATGATGCTAGTTGGTGTCTAGGCGGCTGCGCTGCGGTCCATCTAAGCTTGGTCAAGGCGGCTAGGACCGTGGAAAGCACTCGTATGGCCGTGGAGGCTCTATATGAAGCAGTGCAGGACAACTGGAGAAACAGCGAGGCTATGGAAAGAGAAAATGGCTATGGTATTCTTGCAGCCTTATTGCGGGAGAAGCTTGGATTCTACATGGGCAATTCTCCGACCGCATTCAAAATCCCTGTGGTTAGCTCTGAGCCCGAGGAGCTGGCTTCCTTGATGCTTGATCTGCTACGTTTGACTCTGGGATTTGTTGGCTATGACTTCGAAATCCCTAATCACTCCATCATCACGAACCCGCTCGCCTATCGTGTTCTGCTCGTAGATATGGACGTCTGGCGTCTCGGTGAATCTCAGGTGATTGGGTTGTATTACTCTCAGTTCCGGACATTTGCCGCCGATAGCAACTATCGCCGATTCAACGCCAGGCGTCTTGGTCGTATGCGTAAGTGTGCTTCCTCATGACACTGCCCTTCTTATTATTTAAGCTGATCAAACCAGGTGTCAACAAAAAGTTACTGGAAACCTTGAAGGGTGGAGAGCTGACCGAAGAGTCTCTCCAACCTTGCTTATCGGCATTCCGCTCGTTGATGGAAAGCAGTCTTTCTCCCGACCTTCTTCGATCACTAGCTTTATCCATCACATATGCACTCCATAAGCCAAAGACTCAGACAAACCTTCAGAGAAAGAAGAGCCTTCGGTATGTGGTTACATCGCCTCGACCTTCGTCGGCGAAGTCAGAAAGAAGGTATCTTCCTAGCGTGACTTTGGGCATTGAAATGTTACGGCTATACTCTTCCGTCTTGTGTAACCCACATGACCCTACGCCATTGAGGAAATTTGCTAAGGCTGTCACAAACAAGGTATGTGGATGATCATTTGCCTTGAAAAGAGTTTTGTTTAATCATTTGTGCAGTGGCTGCTTTATCTCATGTGCGAGGATGAGCCTGAGGTTGTGATACTTGCAACCAAAATTTTGGCCCGCTTAGTCGTGGTCATTGGCAGTGGATATAGCAAGAAGTTCGCGGAGAAAAGTGGTGGATACATCATTCTAGAACACCGTCTGAAGAGATGGTGGGACGTTCCCGCGTTGTGGCCTATATGCTTTTCTATCTTTTTCGGTGTTGATCATGCTCTGTTGAACCTCGACAAACCCCTCGACCCGTCCGAACTGCTTAGAGCGTTCTTGGCCCAAGGCGATGTAAAGGTCGTCTTCCCGGACATGCTGCCGGTTATTGTGAATATGTTGAAGAACGGGGTGCGCAATTTGGCCATGGCAAGTGATGCGCCAGAAGGCGCTCAAGAATCTTTCGAAGAGCGTGCCTTCAAACGCGACAAACTAAAAATGAACTCTCTCAAGCTTCCTGGTAGGTTCTCGCCACTCACGGCTATGGCCTGGTATTTCTTTGACTAACACCCATTTTTACCGTCAGATGCTACTCCCTCGGACAAGTATATCCACGGGTTTGCTCTTATCAATTTGGTTGTCCAATTTTTAGAAGAAGCGCGCGACAAGTCACCAAGCTTCCAAGATTTCACCACACAGTCTACTTACGTGCAGGAGCTACTTTCTGTGGTCTATCCCGTTGTTGTCGGTGCTGATGCCGTCAGCCCTAACGCAGAACTGAATTTCCGACACAGCGGACTCAGCTTTGATGACAGCAACCTAGTAATACGACCGCGCTCGAGTACCATTAATGCATCGACAGCTTTGCAGACCACCATGGTTGACTCCTTGGGCAGTCCCGATGAGAGCACTGGTTCTTTGAGACGTGGCTCATCCTTTATTTTGGTTTCTCCTGATAAATCCAAGCACCAGCCCTCTTCTGCACGGATACGGCGGCTCATAAACCCCACCTTTACTGGAAATAAAGCTGGCGCTGATCATCACATCGTCAAGGCAGTCTTCAGGCTTGTGCTGACTGTCTTCGATGATCAGCTTTTAGGACGCAAAGACTTTTCGGGCCTTGGTCTCTATTTGAAGACCCCGCCCGGCTTCCTGGAACACCAGGCGTACTTCAATTCTTGGGTT